TTTTACCACGGGCCGTTAATGGGCTGAGAGTAATAAGGGCCTCATACGGGTCGAAAGACGTCATGGGCCATACATGAGTCGGAAGTTAAAATGGGCTGGAATTATATTGGACGGCCCAGATGACGCTACTGGGCCTAATTCAGATAGGCCGTAAACGGGCCCTGGGTTAGCGGGCTGTAAATGGGCTATATGCGAATAGGCCATTAACAGGCTTGTCGTGGGCCGGCCCGCCACCTTTTGACCAAGTCAAACGTGCTGGCCTTTTCACAGGAATGGGCCTCTGTTGGGCCGTGCCATGTGTCGACGTATCATAGGCGCTTTGGGTCCAATGAGTGGATGACATCTGTCCCAACGGTGAGCCAACACGTGTTTCCTCCAGCCAATGATGATTTTACACGTGGAAAATCCCCATTGGTTGGAGCTGTTAACGGCTTATCGGATCCAAAACCGGACCCGATAGCTTAACGGCGTTCCGTTACGGTGGATGCCACGTGTCGGTCACCCTTGACAAAGCACTTCTGTGACGCGCGATTTATCGTCATGGAAGTGGACACTTCCGTGATGATAATTTTGGTAATGTCTTGGAACACTTCTACGACAGCACATGTATGAGTATCTTGATTCTTTCATAAATTTGTCATGGATGTACATGCATGACAGGAAATGTGACCTGTGACAAACACGTATCATCACGGAAGTGTATTTTTTGTAGTGACAGGTGTCTCCAATGGTGTTTGTTGAGTTGGCATAGATCAAGATTAGGATTTGTCACTCCGTGTATCGGAGAGGTATCTCTGGGCCCTATCGGTAATGCACATCACTATAAGCCTTGCAAGCAATGTGACTAGTGAGTTAGTTACGGGATTTTGCATTACGGAACGAGTAAAGAGACTTGCCAGTAACGAGATTGAACTAGGTATTGAGATACCGACGATCGAATCTTGGGCAAGTAACATACCGATGACAAAGGGAACAACGTATGTTGTTATGCGGTTTGACCGATAAAGATCTTCGTAAAATATGTAGGAACCAATATGAGCATCCAGGTTTCGCTATTGGTTATTGACCGGAGATGAGTCTCGGTCATTTTTACATAGTTGTAGAACCCGTAGGGTCCGCACGCTTAACGTTCGGTGACGATTAGTATTATGACTTTATGTGTTTTGAAGGTTGTTCAGAGTCCCAGACGTGATCATGGACATGACGAGGAGTCTCGAAATGGTCGAGGCATCAAGATTGATATATTGGACGGCTATATTCGGACACCGGAAGTGTTTCGGATGATTTCGAAGAAAACCGGAGTGCCGGAGGGTTACGGAAACCCCCCGGGGAACTAGTGGGCCTAGATGGGCCTTAGGGGAGAGAGAGAGGGGCTGCGAGGGCAAGCCGCGCGCCCCCTTCCCCTTGGGTCTGAATTGGACTAGGAGGGGGGTGGCGCCTCCCCCCCTTTCCTTCCCCTCTCCCACTCATTCCTTCCCCCTCCTAGTAGGACTAGGAAATGAGGAATCCTACTCCTACTAGGAGGAGGATTCCTCCCCTCCTTGGTGCACCCTAGGGTCAGCCAGCCTCCCCCTTGCTCCTTTATATACGGGGGCAGGGGCACCCTAGAACACACAAGTTGACATTGTTTAGCCGTGTGCGGTGCCCCCCTCCACCATAATCCACCTCGGTCATATCGTTGCAGTGCTTAGCGAAGCCCTGCGTCGGTAGCTTCATCATCACCGTCATCACGCCGTCATGCTGACGAAACTCTCCCTCGACACTCAGCTGGATCTAGAGTTCGCGGGATGTCACCGAGCTGAACGTGTGCAGATCGCGGAGGTGCCATACCTTTGGTGCTAGGATCGGTCAGATCGTGAAGACGCTCGACTACATCAACCGCTTTGTCATAACGCTTCCGCTTACGGTCTACGAGGGTACGTGGACAACACTCTTTCCCTCTCATTGCTATGCATCGCCATGATAGATCTTGCGTGTGCGTAGGAAATTTTTGAAATTACTGCGTTCTCCAACAGTTTTTCTTTACTTTTCTAACTAAAAATATGATTGGAAAAGGATAGTGGGTAGGGATCAAAGAATATTACCCCCACAAATTAGACTGTCAGGCCGGGTTCGGGCATAACCATGAGTATATGCCCTACCCACAATTAATCGGGTTGGGTTTCGGTGCTATCCATGGGCGTAAAAATATATCCAATCCCTACTCATTATGGTCTAGTACCCACGATTATCCATGTCCATAGGTAAAACTGGCGTTATTATACCTAGGTGATGCACGCCACACTGTGGAGTGGGTGATGTCACACTGTATTTTTTCTCCAGTTCCTTCTCTGTTCAATGAAGCTCAGCCAGATCATGATCGTCGGTGTCTTCTATTCTACATTAACGACTTCCCAACCGATGGTTTTCAATCATGGGTTTCAATAAAATCGCTCCGCTGAGACGAAGATCCAAAGGCACCAACAAGGTTTCAAGGACACGCGTGTAATTTCTTCTTCCGGTATGAAAGTTCATGTATGGCTGATTTATCAAATAGCCGTATATGGCCTTCCACCTTTCCCGGGGGGAAAAGAAAATGTGTTTACGGAGGGAAACGTTTGTATCTTGGGTGCTGGTGCACCCGAATTGCCAAAAAAATAGTAATTTCAAAAAAGGTAGAAAAATCATGAAATCTGTTGGCAAAAAACTTGATAATGTGTTACACTCGCGTAAAATTATTGAGGGTGGACTTTCATGGTATTGTCCAGGACAAAGTCTAAATCGACACTATATTAGAGGTACTATTCACTCTATATTATCCTGGACAATTTTGTTATGCTCGGGGTTTTTTACAGCAGTTTTTTGTTGTCAATTGTTTTCATGAGTACACCAATAAGTCAAGTTTGTTCGAAAAAAGTTTCAAAGATTTTTGACTTTTTCCTTAATTGTTAAACAATATCCCTGGAATTCATTTATGGGGTTCATCTACAACAAGGTGTATCCTCTATTTTCTGTGTGTTTTTATGCTTTTTAGATTTTCTGATTTTCTTTTCTTTTTGAGCTGGTCATTTTCTGATTACAATCGCACACATAAGGGTCACAGCCTGCAATGCTAACTACCAGTACTATATTAGCAACGTTTAGATAACTAAAGAAATTAATACCCTGCAATAAAAAACTAAAGAATCTACACCTAAACCAACTAATAAAACAAGGTGCATTTTTCTGATTTTCTCATCCATTCATTGTTGAAAAAATATTTTTTTCCACCCGAGATTATACTAAATTTTTGTGCTTCCGTCTACTAGAAAGGACAAAACGATTTTATCCAGAGTTTCATACGTGGGCCGCGCGCACTGTGGTCCAGCAAAGCCAGCCCACTTATTTTTTATACCCCCGCAGCTGGGAATTACCACACGATGCGGCAAATAGTCAGAGCTTCGCACGGGGCGCCCAAGACTAGGCTGGCCCGTTTTTCTATCTGTTTTCTATTTTCTGTGTTCTGCGTTCTGTTTCTATTTTTTTCTATTCTTTTCCTTTTTCTTTCGTGTTTCTTATTTCTTTATTCTCTTCAAAATAATTTTTATTTTTTTCCTTTTTCTTAAATTCAAAATTTTCAAAAAAATCCATAATTTTAATTTTTGGTCCTATTTTGGAAAATGTTTGGAACTTTAAATTTTTGTTCTCATTACTGTTCAAAATTTTAAAAGTATTCCATTTTTCAAAAAATGCTTGTGTTTTCCAAAATTATTTGAGATTTTCAAATAAAATTGCATTTCAAGAAATGTTCCTAATTCAAAAAATATTCTTTTTTAGTGAAACATTCACAAATTCAAAATAGTGTTCATGTCAAAAAAATACAGTTTCTTAAATTGTTCTGAATGCTCAAAACATGTTCCCATTTTAAAAAATTGTTCTCAAATTCATAAAATGTTTATATTTTTATAAAAGTTTCATGTTTTCAAAAAAATGCGCGTATTCAAAAATCTTGTATCAGAATTTTTTTAAAAATGAACGAAATTTCCTGTGTGCATTTTCGAAAATCAAAAAATGCGCGTATTCAAAAAATTTTTAAAAATGAACAAAATTTCCTGTATGCATTTTCGAAAAATGGCCAGGATTTAAAAAATTCATGTATCCAAAAACATTCAGCAATTCATAATAATTATTATTTTTCAGAAAGTGCAAGCAATAGTATGTTCTTAAACATTCGCACTCGCCATTGGTTAGCAGGACCCATTTGTTCGAGTGGCTAGGAGTTGTGGTCAAGTTTTTTAGTTCGTGAGTTCAATCCTTCAACTCATCGTTTTTCTAGAATTTACTCGCGCCTTTTTTGGATTTTACTCACGCCTTATAAACATAGGTCGTTTTCTGGAATACACAGACGCGAACTGTTGTGCGTCTCACGCGCTATTTGATATAAACGAGAATATGCTGCTTGGCTATAATCCCACACGCTATTTGAGATAAAAGAGAATTTGCTGCTTGGCTAAAATTGAAAAAAATTATGGACACATGCCAGTCAAAAGTGAACATGGTGGTTTGACTCTAATGAAAAACTGCGGTAAGTGGTCGTTTTAGTGTCTGCACCATCGATTTGGATGGCCTCAATATCAATAACACAAAACATGCTCATTGCACATCTCAAAAGTGAAAACGAAAGAAAAACGAACGGGCATTGCATGCTTTTGTTCATTGTGGATATCTCACCATTCATGCCGAATGGTACGGGCGCTGCATGCTTCATCTGACTTTTGAGACAAGAAGAAAGCACGGTGCACAGGCGCACAAGGAACAATAAAGCTCGATAGGTCCCACTAAAATCATGTGGGAGCGCCTCCATTTTTCCACATCTTACTGATAGAAACACAGGAAACTGGGAGGGCAATTCACATGCCACTAAATGCCTATCACATACGTAATTCAGATCTAGTAACATCTTCATGGGAGAGCAGTGAATAGCCATCAACCGCAAGCTGGCACTCCAGAAGAAGAAGAAGAAGAAGAAGAAAACCAAGAATCTAGGGGCACTTGGGGCCTCCCTCCTTGGTCTTCCAGTTGTTGTAGCAGGGGCAGGCGCCCTTGTTGCCGTAGGTGCCCGGCGGCACGCAGAGGCAGGTGGCGCAGCACTTGTTGCAGTAGGTCAGGCACGCCTTCTTGTACTGCGTCCCCGAGCACCGCGACGAGCACTTGGACGAGCACTCTGCACACACAAACGCCCCCAAAACATCAGTTTCTTTTACCCAAAAAACAAAGGGCCAAGCTAGACGAAAGGCGGCAAAATGTGCTAGCAATACTGCAATCGCAAGTGGGTTTACCCCATGGCTTGAGGTTGCCGCCGCCACCGCCACCGCCGCCGCCGCCCCCACCTCCCATCACCTCCTGCACGGCACGACCCAAAGGAGAAGAGCACCGGTGAGTTTAGGAAACATAAATGCATGGCTGAAGGATGAAGGAGAGAGGCGACATGGCATGGGTGATTACCACGGGGAACCCGACGGCGAGGACGAGGAGCGCCACGAGGAGGAAGGAGATCTTGGCCATGGCGCTTGCTGCTTCTCTTCTCCGCGCGTGCGTGGCTGGGTAGGAGCGGTGTGAATTGTGGACTTTGAGATCTTTTTGGTTGGATCTCCTGGGTATATGTAGGGCAGGAAGGGCAGCTGGGGGCACGAGGCGGGGGAGAGGTGGCGGTGGACGGTGGTGGGGGGTGAGCAGTTATGGAAGCGTTACTGTGGAGAGGACGGGCCTGCTCCTGCTGTCTGTACTCGGCATGTGATGCTCCATTGGCTGCTCTGACCATGCATATGCGTTACAGACCTGCAGTGCACCGCGACCCTGCTCTCCTTTTCCGCGGGAAGGCTCTTGCTTTTGCATTTGTGCCGGTGCCGACGGTACGTGATATAACCGCGAGACAGGCAAATTTCTGATAAAATATCTGGGATTACAATAAGCAAAAACAGTACCATCTCTTTTAGTTCTACCTATATACGCTCATTTGAGCGACAAGTAATATGAATTGGAGGAGCTTTTTTATATTGTTGAAAAGGTATATATGGCTTTAAGGGGGTGTTTGTTTCCCGGAATTTTTTTGATGTAGAGACTAGAAAAAGTCCCTCTTAAAGATTTTTTAACCAAACAGAAGGGACTACTAGAGACTAAAAGTTATTTTTTGGGACTAAGAGGGTGTTTGTTTCCAGGGACTTATTGGTTTAGGGACTTAAAAAAGTCCCTATAAGTCCCATCTAAACTAAACAGGAGGGACTTATGGGGACTTAAAGTGGGCATTTGGGACTTATGAAATAAGACTCTCAAGGAGGGACTTATAGGGACTTATAGTTGTAATATGGTCTTATAGAGACTTATAAGTCCCAGGAACCAAATAGGTAGGGACTTTTTAGGGACTTGAGACTTATAAGTTGGGACTAAAAAAAGTCCTAGGACTTATGAACCAAACAGGGCCTAAATGAAGAAGACTCTTAAGGAGAGTCTTTTCTAGGACTTTTCCAACAATGCTCCTCCATGCACTCATTGGCCCACCACCACATGGTCCTGTTTGGTTGTTATTTTTCTATATACTAGGGGTAACATGGTCATTTGATAACCTCTAGGGAGGGACCAGAGACTTTTTAGAGGCTGTTTGGATTGTGACTATCTTTGCCATATGTTGCCCCATGATTTTGGCCACACTTGCCACACTTGCCTTACTTGAGTTGCTCAAATTGTTAGCCACACTTTGGCTTGCCGAAGGGAATCTTGCCACACTTTTTGTGTCTATGACATGTGGGGTTCACTGCTCATAAAAAATTCCTTGCCTCAAGTGTGGCTAGAACCAAACACTTACCTAACTTGGTCAAACTTGCCTAAGGTTAGGTGTGACAAAGTGTGGCTAGGAAGCAAACAACCCCTTAGTCTCTGGAAACAAACAAAGAGTGGCTTTTTAGGGACTAGAGACTTTTTAGTTGAGACTAGAAAAAGTCCTAGGACTTATGAACCAAACAGGGTCTAACTATTACTCTTACTAGCAGTAAGTCTAATTTTGACAGCACCGTTGGTAGATGAGCGGTGGACCTCGCGCAAAGATGACATGCACAAATCGAGAGAAAATATCCCAAAAAATCAGGTAAAAATATACAAAAGGATTTTCTCGCAAATATACAAAAGTTTGACAGAAACAAACTGATGGTAGTTAAATTTGTGGGCATTCAAATTTTTGTTGTAATTCATGAGGATAACAATCCAAACGGACGTATAGTTTACGCATATGTTAGTACTAACATGGAGTGTTGGTAGATGAGTAGTGTTATTCTTGCTGCCAACTTGCAAGCCAAAGTGGATGGGCCATAAATACAGAGTGGTGCTGCCGGGTAGAAATCAATTAGGACCCCTTTGATTTGAAAGTAAATGTATATTATTTTTTGGAGGATTTGGATCCTCAGAAAATTTTCCTACTTAGATTTTTTTTCTTAAAAACGAATCAGCAACACATTTCGGTTGTGTACTTTTACAGTCTGGGGCTCATTCCACTTAATCAAATTATTTCCCGTGCAGTGGTCATTCCTAATGCGTTGTTTAGTTGCACCAAAATCTAACTAGTGACCGGAGTAGATCGCGCAGCGAGCACATGGCGCAGCCGGCAGCCCATGCCCACACGGAGGCGCCGTGTCCATTGCGGAAAGCGCACCGGGGAAAAAGTCGAGAAAAATATCATGTGCGCTACTGCTGTAGCTCAGAATAGAACTTGAGCAGGTCCTGCAGTATCAGCAGCGACGGGACTGGCCTAGGGCGTACCCTTCCCAACGACCTACGCCGTAGCTGCGACGCTGCGGCGCGCCCAGGTCAGGTCTGGCGCAGAGCGCGCGCGGTTCCCGGCGGCGAGATCCATTGCGCGGTCGCATCGGTGCACGGCGGTGTCCCCGTCGGCGCGCGCGGGCGCTGTAACTGCTACGGTGCTACTCCCTCCGTTCCACAATACATGCATTCTATTTGTCAAAATATAGATGTATCTAGACATGTTTTAGTATATAGGTACATCCATTTTTGGACAAATGGAAGTCAAGTATTTTGAAACAGAGGGAGTAGTACTGTGCCAGTGGTAGACTGGTGGTTGCTACTTGGCACTTGCCATTACCACCCCGCATGTGACGCAGCTGCCGCGGAGGTCTTCCCGTCTCACATGGGAGAGCCCCACCCGGACGGCGACGCCATCATGGCCCGGTGCGACGAGCCAAACTCGACGGGGGCTCACCGTCAGAGGAGGACGCGGCGGTCTGCGTCTGTCCATGTGCCGCGGTTGCCGAATGCCGGCCGGTGAATGCTATGGGGCTGCAGGAGGAGCAGGTAAAATGGGGAGTACTGTGGAGTGTGGCAGCGGCCAGGAGGGGCGAATGTTAGGTTGGGAGTCATTGATGCCGACGCCGTTGGGTTTTAGCGCGAGCGCGCGGTCGTCTCGTCGAGCACCAGCAGGTTCCCCGTTTGGGTTTTTCCCGTTTCCACTGGCTACTCATGTGACGGCATTTATCACCGGTGCGCGCGATACCCCGATCATCGTCATCGTCCTCGTCCAGCACGGTGCCTTGATTAGATGAGCGTGAAGCCTCACGGCCACTTCAATACACCCGATGGTTGGTTGTAGCTAGCCTTGTAGTGGGGCGGAAAAATAATTTGAGCTTGACTCTAGGCTCCAACTTCGAACTCGCTTAGGCCTAGTGAAGGTCAGCTAGCCAGCGATAATTATTTTTCTTCTCTTTTCTTGCGGGGAAGCTTGCCAGCGAATCAGAGGCGATAATGTTTTGCTAAATTGCAAAATTTCAAGATCAATTGGACTCTGTTAATTTACATATATGCAGAAGATAAGCATAGAAAAATAGCAATGAGAAAACAGTCCTATTCGTTGTGCGTTGTGAGTTTCTTTTGACATCTCCATACACGGCTGGCTTTTTACCTTGAAATTTTAGTCTCGCATTTTAGATGTACAAGCATACCCGACATTGGGATTATATCGTTGTCGATGTCACTTTCTGTTTTGCGGGATATGCATTTTCTTAAAAAAAAAATTAGAACAAAGTTTATTCTGGTTTGAATCGCGTGTGAAGGCATGGAGGTCGTGATACGTGTTTGTCCATGTGTGGTTGCCGGGTGGTGCAAGCTATAAGACTTGAATGAGCTAACATGTGGAGTGGAGTGACATCACCCGGGAGGTGAATGTTTGGTTCTCGAGTGTTGCTACACGTACGATGACATTCATCCGAAGTTGTGTACGATAAGACTGATCTGAGCTCATGGGCCACATCAGATTGAACCAAGCTTCTCTCTTGTTGTACAAAATCGGATGAGAAAAGATCATATGTAAGGTAATTCCGTTGGGAGTTATTGAGATCCCAGTAGGTTAAGGAGCGGTCATCAAGTTTCCATTTTCACAAGATTCTTTTATCATCCAGTTTGCGCCTTGAATTAACATGAGGACATTATATTTAAAAACTGAAATTGTAAAACAAATACAGTTTTCCCTCATCTCCTTGAATCTTCTTATTGTTTTTGCTATGATGTTTTGTTCTCTTTGTTCTCCTTACCATCTGACCATAGAAGTAATGATGTGAACAAGAAGCTGCTTAGTGAACACATACACGCCAACAACATAAATGGACACGTCAGTTGATACATAATAATATGAACAAAAAAATGCTTTAGATCTCAAGATTTGTATGAACTTGACACGAGATGGTCGCTCAATTGCCTCAATGGGAGATTTAAAACATTTTTAACATCGAGGTGTCATGTGCGCACATGTGTGTGTGATTGCAGTCAAATGATGGTTTGTAAACCCATTTGTTAGTAAGGTTTGAAAATCAAATGTTACAATGACAGTAATGTGTAACAACATGGGAAATACCCATCGGCTCTCTCGGACATGCGTTCCCTGAATCTCACTGACTAGTTACTTCAAGGCAGGGCCGACACTAGCATTATGGAGCCCTAGTGCGAATGTGGAACAATGGAACAGAGTAACATAAATATTTTCATTAGTGTATATTGTATATCATAAAAATTAATATAAATGTATATATATCAAAAATGTAATTTTAATTAGTAAATATAGTTATAATACACAATGTATATGTCATTACATGATGCAAATAATGATTATAAGATACATACACTTAGCTATCGAATAAATACAACATGTTGGGGAGGGGAATGCCCTCTGTCCACCCTATAATAACATTTGACATTATGTTTTCCATATCACATTTAAAATTAAGGTTGTTTTGAGAATATTTAAAATTGAGATATGTACATGTATTTGATCTTTTTTTAAGATAGGCACTAGGCCGCCGCACTGATGTAGGGCGGAACCCTATACGGCCGATCTTTCACGAAAGGAGCGGATCCCGCGATGAATACAAAAAACACAAGGAGAAATCATGAGGGGAAACATGAGAGAATCACTCAAACCAACAAGATTCGGTCACACATATGCTAGATCCTCGAAACACAAAGAGATACACGATTCAAATCCAACAAATGACGCTACATAGGGTAACCGG